TCTTCTCTTTCTACACTCAGCAGAGCAACATCATAGAGTCTGCCTTGACTCATGGAGGCTCTCAAATACGAAAGTATTATTTTTAACTTGCTGAATGATCTCTCACAGCAGGCGATGGAAACTGCGATGGTTAACATTACCTGAATAGCAATGCCAAGATTGGGGAAGACGCTCTCATCTCCACACTGAACAATAAATTCGAGAAGCTCTTCAGGTCTTGATATTTTCATGTTGGCCCGACTTGATAGCAACATTCTGCAATCCAAAATTTCTTCATATAGCTGCTGTCCATCAACACCAGAGCTGTACAACTCGCCCAAATTTTCGCATTCCTTCTTTAGGTCGTTACTGTCGGCGCCGTAACACAGTCCCTCGACATCGAGAAGGAATCCAAACTTGGCGTCAGTGTCGTGCAGACGAGCGAACTTTTCGTCCATTTCTCTATGAAGACGGTCGAGTGCTTCCTTCATGACTCTTTCCATTTCCTCCTTGGCTGTTAACCCAGCGTCTCTCGAGTTCTTATTTCGTCCTTCTCTAGCTGTTTCAAGACTCTCTAACACGAACTGTTTTCCTCTCAAAATCAGCTTCCACGTATCTCACTACTTCTGACATCTGCTCACGGTGTGCCTGATCAGGAGTCGAGTCAAACATGAGACCATAGTACTTGGCTTTACGAATGCTTCTCAGTAAACTCTGGCGAACAGTGGATGCCATCATGTGGATGAATTCATTCTGGACAACCGGTGAAAGATAAGACGTAGATCCAGGATGACTTTCCACATGAGTGAGGTGTTCTTTCATGACAGGGTCAAAGATGGCCAGTAGTTTCAGTAAGCCAAGGAAACTTCCCACATTGGAGTCATCATCTAGCTCCCTGTGTCCTTGCAAAGCCAGCTTCTGATTCACAAGGAATTTTATGCAGTGAAGGATTCTCGTCAAAATATCACGCCACTTCTGCTTTTCCTTCTCAATCTGTGACTGAAGTTCCGCATCAATAACTCCTCTGTTTTGAGCTAAATTTCTTTCCGTTTCTTTCCACTGTGTGAAGCACTCCCGATGACTCTTAGCATTTTCATGAACACTAATCCTTTCATGTGCTTTCCACTAGTTGAATCCACTTTCATGCTCCAATAAGGATTTATGGTCTGACCAGGAATAGAGAAGACAACAGATATAAAATGCAGACTTTGTTGAAGGGGGAATAACCAGTCATGAGCGAGTTACTTCCTCCCTATGACCATTCCTCTTGAACCAAGTTTTGTTCACTGAGTGGTTATTTGTTGGTAGGAAAGGCCCCTCACTGTTCTGGAAATACTTCGAACCCAGCTTTATTATTTCTGTTCTCAACGTGTCAGGCAAAATTGCTTTTCCAGTATCCTTATCGAACTTTAGAAGTCCAATGTCATGCTGTTCAATCACTTCTGGTATGACAATTCGAGGCTCTTTGACACCATCCAGTTCACTAGGTTCAGTGTTGTCAGGTTCAATCCCGTCAGATAAAATCTCGTCAATAAGCTCAACATCACCACCACCATCGTCTTCCCCTCCTGTAATGTTCACGTTCTCTCTGGCAGCCTCACTCTTAATCTCGTTATACTCGGATTCATCTGACTTGACTTTCTCCTCAGCTTGTGACTCATTTGTACTTGATCCAATTTCGGATTTTAACAAACTTGTGGCTGGTGCAGGCAACTCCATGGAACGTGTCGAACTACTTGTTTTGGGCTTTTCAAAGAAGTGCATGAACAACTTGCTCGACTTCTTGGCTTCCTCTGCCTCCAACTTTCGTCTCTTCCGTTCTTCAGCTCCACTTTCTTTCTTCTTCGTGAAGAAACGTTTCATGGTCTTCTTATACAATGCTCTGAGATAAGGAAATGACACTTTTAATAAGAACATTAAATTAAACGTAGATTTTGCACAAAATTCTGGACTACCTCCCTAGTTTGCGCAGGAGAATGGTCTTACTGCCAGTTGGCACTGAGCAGTGCTACTATGAGGTATGTGGTCATGTTGCTCCCAGCACTGTATTTTTACCTAATAATTTATATAAGTGGTTTAACAATTCGGCCATCCTAGTGCTTCTCACGCATGATAATCAAAGACAGATCATACATCTAAAGAAAATTATTTTTTCACTATTCGAGGATGGCTTGTCTGCCTTTAATAAAAACTGCTCAGTGGCACCCCTCTTCAAGTGGTGCCCAGGGTACGTGCCATACCTTAGGTACACCACTGAATCATGTTGTTGCTTAGAAAATAGTGGACAATGTTAGTGAAAATGTCTTTGATAGTAATTTCAATAGCTGACTGATAAATGGCAGTGCGGCAGCAAAGAAGTGATTGACATAAGAGGCTGAACATACTTATATTAGAACAGCTTATAAGCCTGAACCCAAAACAGAGTTTTTTAGTTTTGTATAGATGGGATCATACGTTCAGTGAGTTCAGCTAACTTGCTCCATGCATTAATAAAGGAAACAGAGAATTTCAAACTGATGACATGTACATGAAGCCAGTTGACGAGGTACCTGCAGCTACTCTGATTGAGGCACTTAGCAGTCGTGAATTCCATAAGAAAACTGTTGGAGCATGCTCGGTCGGTGCTTCTGTAAATTTTGGGAAAAGAAAGGACTGATGGAACAAATTCAAAACAGATACCAACTGGCTGCTTGCTGCACACTGCTTTGCACATATACTCGAAATGGCAGCAAAGGATGCTTTGGCTGAGCAGTTTGGCGAGGTTGACGAGCTTTTGAAAGAACTTTACCTACATTTTAGAAACATCCAAAAATATTGGTCCTTCTTAACGAAACTTGCTGATCAACTTATAATCAGTGTGTTTGTTCAACCTAAGTCGTATGGGACAAGATTCTTACCACACGTGCAAAGATCTTTGACTACAACTGGGTTTTGCATGTTCACCATTTCAGCAATATCAAACAACAAAACACTGATGCATCAAGTAAAGCAGCTGGGTGGTTGAAAAACTTCTGAACTTCAAATTCCTTGCCATATGCTGTGTATATGAAGACATAATTCATCTACTCACAGTCGCTTCTTAAATCTTTCAAGCTAATGATGCCCGATCAATTGCTGATACCTGTCTATCGTTCCGACACTAATAGTTCAACAGCTTTATTGATTATTATTTTTGAGTACAGCAGAGTAATAACAACCAATTAACTGGCTATGTGTAAATAATGCGACTTTCATAAAAATTGTATTATAATAATAATAGCAATAACGGTAATAATTATAACAGTTTATTTCAGGCTTGCAAGTAAAAAATGTGAATACAGTCACTCCATAAAAATATATACAGCATATTATACTAGGAAATTGCTAAACGTATAAATAAAGTATCACTACTAATAATAAATTTAGTATGAAATACAATTCATAAAAAATGGATGACTGTTTGAGCTATTATTTGGTGTACTTTTGCAGGAACTCCTGGCAGAAGAATTGGGAACATCCGAAAGTTATTTATGGGTAAGGCTTACCAAGTGTGAAACAGTGGACGCTTCTGATGTTGTGCATGTTGGGACAACCACACGTCGATCAGGTCCAGCTGGCTCTACTGAAAACACTAGAAAATCAAGCTGGCTGTGAAAGACGTGAAAGGCATACTCACTCACAATTCACAGAATGTGGCTTTAGTGAACCATTAGTGATGACAAATGTAACCACAAAAGAGGATATCCAGGAGCATCGATAAAATGCCACGCAGAGCTTAGATAGTGCACTTAGCAGCAGATTTGTTGACTTTGACAAGACAACTTCTGTTCTTTCCAAGATACAATTATCTAGACACCAGTACTTGGCCCAAAGACTTGAACGAATTGTTTTGTACACAGGAAGTTACTTGATAATGCTAACATTGACAGTAACATTATTATGTTACGGAATTCAAACAATTAAAACTGTACTATGAACCAAGACTTTAAGCTGGGGAAATAAACTTGTCACCACGTGAATTCTAGCCTTGGGTATATGAAAAAGATCATCAAAGTACAAGAACTTCCTCCTTCTTGTTGAGCTCGTTCTGTGCATTCAATTTTCAACTGCAGCAGTTGAGAGAGGATTCTCATCTGTTCGTCAGATACTGACAGACTGGCGAGCTAGTTTAGATCCTTCACTATTTGGGGATTGTCTTCATTTCAGCATACGGAAGAAGGAACTAGCAAATTTACTCTATAGAAAATCACTCATTGATAAATCATGTGATTCTTTCTTAGCTGGGGCAGAGAAAGCAAATTACACAGACAACTTGGTACCCTTACAAAACGCAGAATTAACAAGATTCTCCAAGGCCTACAAAGTTCTTGCTCACAAACAAATGAGGAATTGTACACACAGCCACTAACACAAGTGGTTACAGTAGATAATACAGATTGTTTAAGTGAATCTGCCAGTGATGATGATGATTGAAAATGAACATCTTGAGCCTGACGTTCTTTAAAGTACTATCATTAAATTAGTTCTATGAAAAATGTTTGTTTATGCCTTTCTATGTTAAAAATATTAGTACATATTTATTCGATGTGTACAAAGAATATAATTTATTAAAAGTGATCTGAAATATAAAGGCACGTAGGAAAGTTTATGAATTCTCCGCACGAGAGCGAATTGTCTGGACTCTCGCGAAATCATTTTGCGAGACTCTACATAGATTCTCGTAAATTTCCACGAAATTCTAGCCCTGGATGGTTTACACTACGACATTAGCATATATACACTTGATAGTTAATTACACTAATCCTTCTTCCCTTTTCAAGGTCATGTCTATAAATGTAAAACTTGTAGTATTTAGTGCTTTTTTGCCACTTCTCTTACTTTGATTGTATAACAGTCCTACACTTTATAAACAGTTCCATTGGCAAATCGACACTTTTCACTTGATTAAGTTACTAGATGCGTATTTAACATAAATATATTTTTAAATACGCTTTTGATACTTTAATCTAAGTGATATTTTATTATCAAGCATAGGTAGCCTTTTTCTTATGGTACCTAATGATGATGATATTAAGTGGAGAGAGAAATATTTAGGACTATCATCATCATATATGATACTGTGATCAATGAAGGTTAGTAAAATATTTTTGTATAGATCTTATCAAAATATCTGAACTAACAATCTAGGAGCCTGTTATGGAGTGGCTGTAGGTTTGCATATTTGTACATAAAAACTAGGTTTGTTGATCTGGGTACTCTAAATGCTGTGGTGCTTATTGAGTTTTGTATTGTGTGTAATTACTTAATATGCGAGGATGTAATGTTGATCCATGCTAGACAAGCATATTCAATTACTGCAATACTGGATGTATGTACTGTTTATAAATTTTAATGATATATTTCGGTGATGCTTCTGTATTTTTACCTGACAGTCTCCTAGCATAGTTTTTTCGTTGCCATACTTTATTTCTGACTTGGGTAATATGATATATCCATGTTAATTTAGAATCGTAGGTTAATACTATAAAATTTTGCTGATGTGGAACTTGGAAGTATGCAGATGAGTTCCATGTAACTAGTAAGTATAATTCGGGTGAGTATCTAAGTGTTTTGATAGATTTCGAGAGAAGTACCAGGTTGGTTTTGGGAAGATTTAGATTAATTATTGTTTGTTTGTTTGTTATGCATTTCACGCAAAGCTACACGAGAGCTATCTGCGCTAGCCGTCCCTAATTTAGCAGTGTAAGACTAGAGGGAAGGCAGCTAGTCATCACCACCCACCGCCAACTCTTGGGCTACTCTTTACCAACGAATTGAACATCACATTATAACGCCCCCACGACTGAAAGGGCGAGCATGTTTGGTGTGACGGGGATTCGAATCCATGACCCACAGAAAGCGAGTCGAGCGTCCTAACCACCTGGCCATGCCGGGCCGACATATTAATTATATGTTTTTGACAACATTCAACTGTTTCGTTTAGTACTAGTGGTCGTAAATTTGTGGCTGCTATTGAATTTGAAGGGGGTCGAGGAACTCTTCCATATTGCCATATCGGCTGCGAATTGGAAAGTAAGACTAAAATTTGGATCTGTTAATAATAAGGTCATATCACTTACATACATAATGAAGAGGATAGGGCTAAATGCCCCTCCCTGGGAAACACCTGCCTCACGAACAGATCAATCACGTGCTGCTCACCACCAGTCAATTTTTTAATCGCTCACTAATATTGTACACATAACCCATAAGACCAAACCTTTTCGCTGATTTTCTGTTGGCAAGTCAAACTTTGTTGTCTTCTTTCACAAAGCGACATCTAGCAGTTAAATTTCAAACTTGTTGGTTTTTGACATTTTTATCCCTGTTTCTGATATCTTTATTCAAAAGATAAAACAGATCCACAGACATAAAACTTGCATATAATAATATACAAACCCTAAACTGTCGAAAAATGATACTTTAATAAGTAGTAGACGTGATATTGAATTACATTTAGGCGAACGATCTTATTCAAATCATTTAAAGAGCTATCTATACGCGCTTCCACAATTACAAAATTCATGATGAAACTCAGTTGAATGGACGACAACTGTCTGTTGTAGAAACCCAAGTGTAGATGACGACGTTTCGAAAGACTTCCGCATTTTCGAAACGTCGTCCTCTACACTCGTGTTTTTACAACAGACAGTTGCCGTCCATTCAACTAAGTTTCACCATGAATATTGTACCTACACAATATATCAATGAATAAAAAAACTCTTGTTAAAAATCATTTCAATTAAGCTGCGTTGTGCGTTGCTACATGAGGTCTTTTGGGGTCTGAACCATGAAGTTTAAACTTAAAAAGACCTCATAGAATATAAACGTATATTTACATATAT